AAGACAAGATAATTTTAAACACTTACTTCCATAGTTCTGCCTTTCCTGAACATTTCAATTGCAGTAGCTGTAGGCACCCTCCAAATTCACTGCCTCTCCAGTGACATCCATTGAGAAACAACGTTCTCCATAGGAAAAATCTTTGTTGGCGGACGCACTTGGTCAATTTTAAGCCCAAGCAGCTCAGCACAAGGAAAGAGGGCAAGAGAGGGAAAGGCAGGCAGGACAGGAAAACACACAGGTAAGGGCAACAGCATGGAATAGGGAGTTGGATTTAGATTGTCATCTATTTACTGACAACTTCAGACGCTGAAAAGAGGATGGTTCTCTATAGCCTGTGCTCCAACATCATTTCAGTGTACAGTTTCATGAAATAATGAGCCAAAATGCACGTAAGATACATCCAGAAAGGACTTCCTGCTTCTCCCTTCTTTCCTCTGATCCTCTGCTTATTTAGTACAAAGCTGGTGCTTGCCAGACCTCTACATGATTCACAGAATACCCAAAACTTTCATCAAGAAGAAAAGCTGGGCAGCTTTTTACCACTTCAATGAGTTCATGAAGCTCACAGTTGGGCAGGGGTGCTTTGGCTGGAGTAAGATCATAGTAAAGCAGCTACCACCATGCTGCATATGCTCTAGCTCCAGAAAGCTGGCAGTGTTGTTGGTGTGTGAGGCTGTTGCAGGCTCCCAGAATGAAAACCAGCCCTGCAAAGACACAGTGCTATGTAAATACCAACAGTTGCAAAGCTTCCATTACATGGATTTATGTATTACAGCTCCTGCTAGTTAGGAAGCTAGAGAAGTCAGCTGTGCTGATTTGACATATCAGCCAACACACAGAAGCAGCCTCAGCCAACTAGAAACCTTTATCACAGCCATTCCTTGCTGTCAGAATGACAAGTTCAAAGACATGCAAACTGAGTTCATGTTTTATTTGCCCTAGCAGCATTTCCTTGTAACACAATACTTGCTGTACCACTTCCACCCCGACCAGCCCTCACAGCACAGCAGAAGGAAAATGCATCTGCATGAAACAAAGAAATGAAATAATAATTAAAAAAAACACCACAAAACCCCACGAAACCACCATCTGCCTGCAACAAAGCCAGGAACTAAGTTTCCACACGCAGAAGCTCTCTGGCTTTGGCTCCCACAACAGGCTTTTTCATTCTCATTGAGATACCAAGATTTATCATTAGAGGGCACTGCTTCCCCCAGTAGAAAATGGGTTCTTTGCCTTACGTGGATAGAGATTCCAGACATCTGCAAATGAACACTTACTGCGTAACTGAGAAGTCCTGAAACTAGAGTGCAGCTGGAACTCCATATTCACATTTCCTACTTTTAATACGCAAAAGCACTTCAAAACATACTGAATTTACAGGTCTGAATCCAAACTTACGGAGGTTAAAGCCTCAACCACTTACGCACTGGCAGCAGGTGAACATTAACCTCAAGAATAAATGCAAATTCTACTGCTCTATCCTCTCACTTCTGCTGTCCTTAACCTACAAAGTCCCTCAACTGATTTGGGAAGGAACGAGGGTAGAATGTAATTCTTACCTTTAGCAGAAAAACTAAACTGTAAACTGAATTTGACTCCGTGCATTTACATGTGTCAGAGCCACTCATTGTTAGTAAGCAGAACAAAGTGACCCTCTCCCCTTCTGCATCTCAAGCTCACAGCATCTGCTCGAAAGCCAGTATACAGCTACAGTTCTAAAGGAGCAGATGCTCTGCTTCTGCACAAGTATTTAAGGGAACAAAAGGCTTCTGAGGACAAAATGAACACTCTCCATAATCCATAGTTACATACCAGAAAAAGAGCATGTGCACTGTTGCTCCAGAGCATATACAGCATTCATGCTCAAAGTGCCACAGGCCTTTCTAGGAAAGGCATTAGATGAATTTTGCAGAGCTTTTCACTCTCCTGGCTGCAGCCATCCTGCTGGCTTACAGCAGATGAACTTCCTGCATCTCTTGCCTTAGCCCAAACTGTTTACTTCTCTTCCTCCAATATTAAAGAAACAGAAACAACTTGGGCAGGAATTTGAAGTGTCATAGAGGAAAAGAAACTTCCTCAGAGAAGAATGAGAATACTATTGCAGTTGTTGACATCCATTTTGAGGGATGAGGAGTTGAAGCAGCATGTTTATAGGCTGAGAACTTCAGCTTGGGATTTCTCCGCAAGTGACTTAAGCAAAGTAAGGGAATAAAGTGAGGGAATAAAGTGAGGGAATTCACTTCTGGCTAATCCTGGAACAGATTTAATAAAACTGAAACTGCCGATATGAGATAGAAATTCCATGGCACTACTACTCCAGAATGAAAACTAGACCTCTTCCTGCTTCCCACACAGCCAGGTATTCAGTTCACGTATCGTTCCTCTCAATTCACGGAAGCCAGATGGATATCTAGCAGCAAAGGAGCTGAACAGGCAAAACTCCTTACACCTAAGTATACAGAATACAAATTTACAAACAAAAAGATCGGAGGGGCTTCAGTAGAGAGACATACTTGTAGGGAAAAGTGAGATATGCCTTCCACCTTCCAGGGCACGCGTGACCAAAGCTACAAACCTTTAAACAGTAGAATCCAACAACCTCAGGAGACAAGCCATTTCATCAACAGGAAAAGAGAAACCAAGGGATCTTCGAATCCACTCCTTAGAACAACTTCAATCAATAAAATACACACCATTATGATTTCATCTGATTTTTCAACCACACTGTACCAGCATAAGCACAGGGACACCTCCATGGCCAGGGTGAATCAGCACCAGAGACCTGTTGCCAGGCCTGAGCAGACAAGCACATAAAGAATGCATTCTAACATTGTTTTAATATTGATGCTTATCATACTCAAATTAAACACACATTAGTACATCTGGAAGAGGATCCTGCTCACATTCTTCATCATTCAAATCAAAAATGCAAATAAAATCTGGATAGTTTAACATAAACACTGATTTCCAAAGCTACAGAACTGTCTGAACACCGCATAGTGGCTACAAATAGACACAGACACAACAAACCTGTGCTGTATTTGTGCTCACACTGGGGTTAAATGGAAGTCAAAGATGGAAAATGAGCAAACAGTAGATCATTCATCCTATCTCCCACCCAACATAGCTGAAGTGAAGCTCACACAGGAGCCATAGTTCAGTGATACCTGCTATCAGCATCACACCTCTCTTTAAGGTCTTTCTCTATGTTAGAGTAGGAAGCCATATGTTTTCATGTCCTCCAAAACTGTGCTTAGAGATCTCCTACCTACATTTGTTTGTCACTATTTTGGTTCAAACATTCAAAAGCTTGAATTGCACAGGTCTCCATTTACTATGCACTAATTTATTTGCACTAATAATACAGACTTCAGCTTCACAAGCCTTCAGCCAGGTTTCAACCTACAGACCTATATAAACTCCCATTTCTGTAACTTCAGAAACACAAGCCATCAGTGTGTGCACATTAAATGATAAAATACCCAAACCCCCACAGCATAAGAATTACAGGTTTATTAACACAACCCATAAATCAGTTTCTGTTCTTCCTTGCATTATGTAACAGATGTGGATACTTCACCACACACAGAAATGGTACCATACATACAAAATCCAAAGATTGTGCAATGAAGATGGAAAATCATGAATATATTAAGAAAGACAAAGTTTAAAAAGTAAAAAAGACCCAAAACCTCAATATTATGGGAAAGAAACTGCTCATGGTTCACAAGCAACAAGTTCTATGGTAGAAGTAGAGGACAGGCCCCAGAGTACTCCTGACTTGAAGGATACAATGAACTGAGGCAAAAAGACAAAAAAAGACCTAATTTCAGATTCCGAATACATTATCAACAGGAACCTGCCTGAGGAAAGAGGAAGTGATCCCTTCCTCTTAAAAGAGCCCTCAAACCCCCCTAACTTCCCTTAAATGATGATTAATCATCAGTCCAATTGACCAGCAGCAGAGTAAACAGGGGGGAACTAACAGGAAAAACCAGCGGAAATATTACACTACACTGCCTTCAATTGAGCGTGATGGATCACCATCTGCTCCTGATGCCACGTACAGCACCACGGCTTCGGAAGGAGCTAGAGCTCTGTCTGATAATGAACTTACTGCTGCTTTGCTCTTACTTTTTCCTCCAGGTAAACACCTGCTTTGCTGTTACCTTCTCCAACTCTTGACTAGCCACGGCAGCTATTCTCCTATGGGGGATTTCCCAAGATTCCTTCTAGGTTTTATACTTCCATCATTTTGTAATTGGTGTTTTACAAAATCTCCAAAGCACTCCAAAGTAAATCCAAATATGCAGTCAGGATCTGAACCAAGTCTGTTGCTATACAGAAAGAGAAGGCATTAATATGGCAACCAAAATAATGAGATGGAACATAAAGTAACATAAAGACGTGGTTGCTTACAGCACTGCGACCTTAATAAAGAGCACCAGTGCAGGCAGAAGTCATCCGAACTCCTCCCCAGAGGATCTACAGCAAAGCAGAGATTTCACGAGGCTACAGTTTGACTCCATACTCAGCAACCAGAAGGGAAGATGCATGATAAAAACCCAGCCGGGAAAAGCAAAACCAAGTCAGGGGGAATGAATATGATACAGAAGGTTCTTATAGGAAGAGAAAATAAATATGGTGGCGGGAAACAAGGGAGGACAAAGAAAGGTAAAGATGTCTAAAAAGGGCTGAGGGAAGGAGAGTCACTCATGACAGTTTTAAAGCTACTCGAGTTGGGGAACAAAGATGACAGGAAGTGCCCAGATAACAATTAGCTATAACCACTGATCTATGACATTTTCATCACTATAAATAATAACTACTTCCTTTAGCTTGTTCAGAGGGAGGGACCTTCGGATGGAGGGGGGAAAAGGGCACGCTACTTCCTTTCAAAGATTAACATGGAATTGCCAAAATCTCTCAGACAGAAGAGCAACACTACTAATAATTCTTTCACGAAAATGCAGTTAAAATTGAATCAGAATGGATTCAATGTTGAACAATTTTAATGAAGCAAGTGTCAAACAAGCACATCAACTTCTTAAAAACAAAGGAACTCCAAAGTTTAATTACAAAAACATTGTACAGAAAACTTGGCATCTCAACAATTACAAACACATTAGTCCAGCAAATGGATTCTGGTTTCATATATTGCTCTTACCACTGTTTTAAGTGACAACAGCATTTTATTCCACTCTCCTCCTTGATACCCACTTTATATTTTACCTTTTATAATCAGCCAACACTGACAAATGTAAACTGAAGTGACACTCAGAAAACACTGGAAAGACAAAATTCCATTTTTATAGGGTTAATCTATGTAAATAAGCTTTTTAATGAGACGAAACATCATCTGTCACATCATCGGTGAGCAAGAACTTAAGTCTTCCCCCAGATGCTTTAAGACAGGTATCACCTCCCCTCCTTCCTGGTGGAAAAACCTAAGAGATTTGTCAGCTCCCAGGTAATACTATTGCCTTAAATTTCCTATCCCATAACACTTGCATGCTACTCAGCACAATGATCCATTAGCAGTATGCCACAAGCTGATAGCTGCATTGAATTTATGTAAGCAGGGGCAGCCTGCAGCCACCCGTATCTTATTTACAGTATGTGTATGTCACAGCCTGGAATTGCATCCTACTATCATATTACATAGCTATTTCTGGAGTCTTTATGGCATACAACTCCAAGTATTAGGTAAGATGCCACAAAGTGAGCTTCAGAATTTTGTAAATCATCTTTTGGCTATACAGTGCATTTTGGCTGCTTCAACAGAAGTCAAATATCACCAACTCTGGAGAACAAGGTACACACAGGAGATGATGAAGGTTGTTGGTGCTTCTTCTGGAGACATTAACAACCAGTAGGATTCTTTTCCCCCACACAGGATTTGTTACAGAGTCCACTAAAAACATTCACATCAACATCTGCTTTCTCATTCATGCTAAAGAAAGGGGAGGTCAATGCAGCAAATTGAGGTTCCTTTTGTGAAGTCTTGAAAATGAGACTGAAGACAAGAGAAAGGAGTTTCCTCCCTGAAGGAAGACTTGAATTTACAGGGAAGTCCTTGCTGCCTGGCTACAGCAAAAAACCCATAAGCAAGCAGAGACCTGACACACAAGCTGTTGACCTGGAGATGGCTTCAGACAAGCACAAAGTCCATGGGTAGAGTGTGGGAAAAGAAGAAATTGCTTTTTAATTTTCAGATACTTATGTTACAGATACATTAAAGTGACGCTGACTGTGACGCACTCTAGTAATGAAAGCAACCTCCAATTCACAACAGGGGATCTTAAAGGTTTCTTGAGGAGGGGCAAGGAGACTGTCATGTGGAAGAAAGAGCATTTCAACCACCACCATAAAGCCCAGGGATGTCCAACAAGTGCTCAGCCGAAGCCCGAATTAACAATTTGACAGGAACTAGGGGACAGCGAATGATTTGTGTAAGTTAGTGCAGACAGTGGGTGCCTTCGTCTTTGACAGGAGGTGCAGCACAGCTCAGCAAGATTACAGACTGCAGCATGCAGAGTTCTACCTGATGTCAGTGAAAGGCCATTTAGGTCGCACTGGAACATAATACACTGAATGCTATAGGCTCCACAGGCTCTACTTTATCTGTACAAAAGGTGAAAGCACTTACAGGCTGTAATGTAGAATTCTGAGGGCTGCTATGTGGACCTAGCTGCTAATAACCTTCTCTGCTCTAATAATTCATGCAAAAATACGTGTGCTGCTCCCAGGCATATTGTGTCCCAGCACTGCGATTTTGGGAAAAACATCCAGCAATCCCTCTGCCCATTTCTCTTTTTATAGAATACCACTCTCACCATGAGGTCATTCTCTCAAAAACAAGGCAGTAACATTAAATTAGACTGAGCAACACATCACAGCAAGGGCAAGCTTTGTGGTTTTAGTCCAAAATGGAGGTTCTTATTTTTCCTGCTGAGAACTAGTAATGTTTCACTTGCTATCTTGATTACCACTGACCTCTGTGGTAGCAAAATGCACCACCAAAAGTTTTGAAGAGATAACAGGAGACCTTCACAGAAGAGCAGGATGCTTATGTGCAAGAGAGGTGACTGAAGAGAAGGGAAAGAGAAGTCGCTCTCACAGTAGAATCGAGTCACAAAAAGCATCAACCACAGCTAGCAGGGAGCAGACTCAAGTTGTAGAAGTTACAGGCTAACACAAAAAAAACCAGGATTCTGCTTTAGAAAAGCTTACATAAACCTAACAGGCAGGGTAGGACATGACAGTGGGCACCAAAGAAGACTGCCTGTTAAAGCAGAGAACACAAGTGCTGCTGTCCAGTACTGCAAGTAGCAAGTAACAAGATCAAAAGAAAGAAAGTAAAGAGGAGGAAGGTAATCCCACAAGATAAACATGAAAAAAGGAAAGACACCAGAAGACATTAGGCAATATAACACATCAAAGTTATTACTACAACACACAGGCTGACTTCATTTCACCAACTGTGAGATTCCATCTCTGTAGCCAGCCAGTCCACAAACGTATGCACCCTCACACCCAGCAAAAGGAGTAAGAAACTGGAGATTGCACAAAAGTTGCATGCCTTTAAATGCTTCCACAGAGGACAGTTCCAAACGTTTACTGGGTGGCGTCCGTGGCTTCTTAAGACCTTTTAACGCATTGAGATCTGTGTCTCACTGACAAACCACAAAGGCAGGGACACGGACAAACCTGCAGCTCTGCCTCCCACCCCATCTCTTTCCCTCATGGCTTCTTATTCCACACTGGCCAAAAAAAATTTTTGTAAAGCATCCCATGGGCATGAGACCTGCAGATGAAACAGAAAAATAAGTGTTAGAAGCCCTCAATCTGCCAGGACTAAACAGGCATCGTGACATTAGTTTTTAGATGATTTATCGGCAAACACAACATGAAGCAGCACAGCAAAGAAGCTACAGAGACAGAAGTGTAACTTTCTCTTCTGCCCTATATAGTGTTTGCACAAAGAAGTTCTCTTCCCCATGCAGTACAGGAAACCAAAACCATTCACTGGTATAGTCAAGTAGGCAAGAAATGTACTAAGTACATTAGGACAATGTACTATGCCACCAAAACCCACCCACTTCTGTGACCTACAGGGGTTTTCAAGAGTATCATAATAAATATTTTGCTATGAAATTGATTTGAAACATGTCTCAACCTCAAACAGACCATTTAGTTGATAGAGATTATATTTAGGTGAATTAATATTATTCGTAAGCATGTTAATAACAGGACAATGAAGACAGTTTGCTGGTACAGTTTACTGGATGCCAACTGAACCTTTCTAGCCAAAGCTTGCCTCTTTTCCAGAGGGATTCTACTCTTCTTGAAGTTTGCATCCCCTAAAGCCCAACCTTCTCCCTTCTAAGATGTTATCACAAAATGTAATCACTGCCAAGTGATCATCCCTGTAATTAATAGCCCTATGAATTACTTAATAATTATATCCAGTTACATGCATGTCTTTATATAATGAAACTAGGTGATTATTAATCACATTTTTAATTGCCTCATGCTGTTTTGCTGCTGGAAAGAAGGAAGGTATTGGTGGGAGGGGGAAGAAGGGAACTGAGTCCTAATTTTCAACTATAAAGTAGAAGGAAGAATCCTAAAGCAAGAATTCTTTTATCCAAACAAATCACAGCTGAATCCAGTTTATCCAAGAAAAAAATATTTACATTTTTAGGAACATGGACACTGTCCATCATTTAGGAAATACGAATCTGCCTGACATGGGAACCAAAGTCTAGGTTTTAGTAGCCTTAAGATACGATTTTTCTGGCAAGGTGCTTAAAGGACAAACATCTGCTTGAGGGCCTGGCAAACCCTTCTAATAACTGATTGATGAGAAACTGCTTTCCCTCTCATGTTCTGCAAAACCTTCCCATCCCCCAGTTCTCCTTCTGAGCTCAAGTGCTAATTGAAAACAGTATCCGAAAATGAGGAGGTTGATGAGCTACTGAAAAATCCCAGACCTGGATCGACAAGCTGTTCCCTTCATAAATAGCAGCAGTAAAGGCACTTCTTTATTCTGCTGGGAGCTCAGTCATCTCTTAGAACTATAGCCCGTTCCATCTGGCTACCCTCTGGAAGGACAATGATCTTTTAGCTTAAGCCACACTATAATGGGGAATGTGTAATTAACTGTTCTACAGAGTATCACAAAAGGTCACACACAGAAAGGATGAAAAACCCTGTCTTCGTATTTGCAGATGGCACAACACAGCTTTATTTGCATTTCTAAGCACTAGTCAAGACATGTACCAGTAGATCTCTACATAATAAATGCCTGAAGAATGCAGGTATGCCCATAGTTAAAATAGAAGCAGGCAGACTCCTAATGGCTGTCTAGTGCTGTGCATCACAGGGGAAGTAGGGGAGTAAGTAATGTGGGAACTGCAAAGCAGCACAGTAATGCAGAAAGACTGGTATTTGTTTGTTGCTTTGTTTTTCTACTCAGTCCCTATTAGTTTTCTAAGCTGCTAAACAGAAGCAAAAATACAGAATCATGAGCTCAGTAATAACCTATGTGTAAAGCCACATGATCATTAGTCTCAGCAAATGCTACATATAGCCTGAACCACACACCACGGCTTCCTTTCCATCTAAACCTTCATAACCAGAAGAGCTTTACTACAGGTGCTATAGAGCAGGCAGTTGTAGGGCATTTTCAGATTATAAGAGAGTTGAGTTCACCTCTAAGCTCTTGAGACGAATGGAATTTCTCTGTGACCATGAGATTCTACAATTAATGTTGCATTGTTCAGATATCCTTACTCAAAGAAGGATCCTCTTCTAAGTCAGTCACCCTGCTCCTTTTTGTACACCATTCTACACAATTCTTATTCACCTTACATGAGTACAATGAGTAATGGGACAAACAGGTCTTTATGTCTTTATACAAAAGATCTTGGAGCTAAGGGGAAATTCAGAACCCTTTAATACTGATGGGTATTTCCAACCTCATTTAATTTTCATTAGGTCAACCTGCTGCTGCGCCTTTGAGGAAGCAACTGTTTTGACTGTACAATATGATGATTGACGCAAGAATCAGCATCAGAGGTACAGCACAGATGCCAAAGAAGAGCAGCCTAAGAGCAAACACTTACCCAGTCACTAGCGTTCAAGTCTGTTCACCACGTCCCGGACCGTGGCGATGAGGTTCTCATTCTCCTGGGGGTTAGCCATAACAATGCTGTGCAGCCTGTTCATGTAGGAATCAATAGTTTCCATCGTGGGCGTTTCCCCGCTACCTACGGTTAACACAGTAACATGAGCCACGGAGTATTCAGATGACTGCAGCAATTCCATAAAGTTAAGACTATGGTAAGGGCAATTTGTTCCAACATGGAAACTATTACAGGAAGTGGTTTTTGCCATGCACCGCCTCTTGTGACAGATTCTGTAAGACTATGTTTGCCTAACTCCACAAAGTGAGTAGTTCCAAGGACATCAGGACTAACGAAGCACGGTTTTCTTTTATTTGGGCCTCACAGCTGATTATAACAAACTCTTTCAGACGGGCCTTCGTAATATCTAAGTGGATTCCCTAGCACCTGACACTATAGATGCAGCCTTTCTTTTACTCCAGGAACTTGCAAGTTCCATCTTTTCCACTTAGAAACATTTTCACAAAGCAAGTGAAGGAGAGCAAGGACTGAATATGTGCCTCTCTTTATTAGAAAGAGAAGTATGAAGAAAAAATAAAAAAGCTATGTTGAAATAAATCACTGACACCAAATGTTCCCCTGCATGAATGTTCATATCTCATTACCCAAGAGGAATGTTCAGGGGAAGTTCAGGTTGGATACAAGGAAGAAGTTCTTTACTGTGAGGGTGCTGAGGCACTGGAACAGACTGCTGAAAGAAGTGGTAAATGCTCTGCCCCTGGCAGTGTTCAAGGCCAGGCTGGACAGAGCCTTGGGTGACATGGTTTAGTGGGAGGCATCCTTGCCCATGGCAGGGGGTTGAAACTGGATGATCTTAAGGTCCTTTCCAACCCAAACCATTCTATGATTCAAATACAACTAAGGCTCAGAAACAGCCAGGACCATAGAACTACACCAGCAGGCCACACGTCATAAATTCACAGCACCGTATAAACATCACAAGTAAAATTCAACATGTCAGACAGTCCTAAGGGAAACAGAGTCTCACCTGGTAGTGGAACTCCAGCAAAGCTGCTTGTGAGTGCTTGGCGTAAGGTCTCGAGATGCTGCTGCAGCACTGTGTTGCGGCTCCGCTCCTGTATCACATCCACCTCAAGTTTCTCCACGGCAGTACGCATGCTCTCCACATGCTTCTGCAGAGCAGCATTCCTCTCCTCAAACTCCATGTTGGACTTACGCAGCTGCCGCAGCTCAGCTTCTCGTGCTGTGAATATCAATCCATTCCCATGTAGTCAAAAACTATAGAACCAAGTATCTATGGTTCGTAGGCAATGAAGCTGAGTGCTCTGGAGTGCTGAACTGATGACTACAAATGGTGCAGTTTTGGTTTATAGGTGAAAAAAGCATCATATCATGGAGTGCTGGTAGTGCCTACAGTAGTACTATTTCATTTCTAGAGATAGACAAATTAGAAGACATTCAAAGCATGAGAGTAGAAGTGAATAGGGCAATTGATTAGGCAGGGAGACTGCAAGACTGATTTCAAATGCATTCAGTATGACATAGCTTAGCTACATCTTCAGTATTTCTTAATCCTATACACAACAGCAGATCCAGCTTAGACTGGCTGGAATAACAGCAAGTGGAGCTTAAACATCAGAAGCATTCTCAAGAAGAATAGCTTTGGAAGACAAAGCCAGGAAAACTGCTTTTGCAGCCATTGCGGTTTTACAGAGGTACGGTAGTATCAGAAACACTGATCAACTGTATTCAAGTCATTACCTGAGCTGAGATTCGAGAGTGCAAGGACTCTTGAGCTGCAAGAACCTGGCAAAAACCTTGGAATAGCAAAGAGAAGGCCCTGCAGAAGTTTAACTTACCTTTACTATGATTCAAGAACTCTTCTGTGAAGATTGGAATATCAAAAACAGATCTCTCCTTTGTATCTGCTTCTTTCTACAAAAGAAAGAGTAATACACAGCTAAATACTGCTAGTTTTCAGGAATGTAGTAAATTGCTTTGATCAAGAAAATAGAAAGAAGGAAGACCAAAAACCAAGGCGGCTAAAGAGCTGGTTGTTTGGAAGACACTTCCAGATCCTAGCAAGGAAGGCCAAAGGATAGGTCTCAGCTTTTTAAGATACAAGTTTGGCTTTAAAGATCTAACCAAATAACATTTTCAAGAAATATAACATACTAAAATATACCCTTTCACCCTAATGACATTATATATCTGAATCATTCTGTTTTAAAACTATCTGAATTCATTTTTGTTTTCCACTGGAAAACATTCCATCATCAATCAACTGACACATGCTGAAATAGTCTAGACAAGAATATCAACAATCAGGAGATAAAGAGAGATGAAACTTTTTGAATAGGAGGCAATCAAAACACTCAATCATAAAGTTTTGATTACCTCCTATTGAAAAGGCCCAGGGTGCTCAGGTTGCACAGCATTTTGTCATCCCCCAAGGCAAAAGAGAACCAAAATTACTGTTTTTATCATTTGCCTGAAATAAGACTGGGATGCTCCCAGAGTGTCAATAATAGCATTCTCATCTGGTTATTAAAACTGAGGTTGATCTTTGGAGGTTTCAGAACAAATCAGACTTGAAATTCTTAGAGCCATGGTGAAGTGTGGTAGAGAGGAAGCTGAGATTTTGATGGGGTTTAAGTTCATCATTCCTTGTGTGGTTAGATGCAGACAAATACAATACTTCATTAAAAAAAAAAATATATATTCTCACGAGTAGATGGTTTTCCTTCCTGTGTTCTCGTACTACAGCAGCCATTTTCCTGTCTTCAAAGGTTGCAGATACAACCAGGCAATGCCTAATCTCCTTCACGTGTGTGTGTCCCTTAAAATCTTGCCAGTGAGATGTTGTGTAACTGACTGCATGAAGCTAGACCTACTCTGAATCAAACAGCGTGAGGAAAGAAGCGGTAACAGAACAATGGAGAACAATTAATAATGGCTGGGGCACTGCTGATGACAAGAGTTCTAAGGGCACATTGCTATGTGTCATACTTATGAAATCAGGATTTCATGCCCAGAGATGAGCTCACTGAGACAGTGTCTCCATGCTTTTAATAACTATATTTGCCTATTAAAACTTTCCTCTCACCTTCCCAAGCTTCATCCTTTTGTTATTTTTTTATTATGAACAGTATTTGAATTATTCATTGCAATTCTTTTTGGAGGTCATCTCTATACACAGTATTTAAAATTAGTTCTACACTGATACATAGAAACTAATCATGAACACCTAAACGGAGCGAGGGGAGAAGGAAAGGTTTCTTTGACCTTATTTTCTTTTATTCTCAAGAAGTAATTTAATCAGATTGTACCTAATCACAAACACGATAATAGCCAACGTGGATAACAGAAACCAGCAAGACAAAAGGCTTTAGTCTTGCTTCCAATAACAACTTGAGTATACACTTCTAAAGGCAATCTAAATCTTTTCTGCTTGTTTCTTGCCTGTGCAGGATTATACCACCTGAATCCCTTGCAGAGAAGATGTGAAAGCCTATCAGGTGATAAGCATGTAGAATTTTGTAATATAAAGGTGAAAACTGCTAAGCAAACCTTCAGGCTTTCATAAGAGGATGACAGCCTAACATGTTGCTAGCTCAACTGTGTAATAACTATCCGATGAAGCTTAAAAGCCCCACAGCGTATGGAGGATACCTTTTAAACCGGATTTATGACGCGAGATTTCAGCAATGATATAGCTTGAGTTAGCAGGATGAGAGCTAAGACTCCAAATTTGTAGTCTGCCATCTGTATCACTTAAAGGTTATGTAAACATCACAGTCAACCTGCAACTTCAGTAACTTGGTTTTGTATAATTAAAGGCAAACTTTGCTTCAGTAACTACAGAATCAGAAATCTGGGGGACCGTGTAGTTCTAAAGATTACTCTTACTGCAAGTGCTTCCTTTAAGAGTTAATAAAAAGCTTATAAAAAACATGCTACCAAAGCATCTTCCTGGAAGTGAAACTTATTTTCCTTCAAATAGACAAGACCAGAAGTTGCCTCTCAGCAGCACCCAGCCTTCTCATATTGTAACAAACACATTATAAAGCAACTTGATTGCTTTCCTGAGGCAAAAGGTCTCACAAAGAAAAACAGATCTTTCAGAAAAGCCTATTGCTTTCAAGTGAAGAGACTGTGTATAAGCAAGTTTCTTCACTGCTTTTTCTTTGCAGTTTATTGGTAACCACGAACGAAGCTCTGTGGCCCTAAGTAATACAACTGGAGAAAACTTCAGCACTTCAAGGGGAGAGATATCATAGTCAGCCAGGATGCACTGTGGTATGTCCCATCAGCTAAAGCACAGGCATCTTATCTCCAGACATTACTACTCTTTTCCAGTATTTCCATTTGCAAAGGGGGAGGCAGGAGGAGATTCAAGTCAGAAATCTCCCAATGATAAATGTCCATTGATTTATTTAGCAGTACAAAACACATCTATGTTTTAAGGGTACCCTACACTCCTACTTACTCTTCTATCATTTGTACTTACCCAGGACTTACTAAATTTAGTTTTCATCATACTACTGTGAGCACAAAACTACTCAGTTGTATCTAACTTTTGATCAAAAACTGCATAGGAAGAATTCACACTCTAAACCTCTGATGAGGGTTTTCAACTGGCATAAATTGGCTTTTATTGACTTTACTAGAAACTTGTGGCATCTGAAAATCTGCCTACTGGTGCAAGGGTAGAATGTAGAGGTTTACCTCATGATCATGGGCTGGCTGTCTTGCTCCATCTGAAAAATTAAAACCAAACAAGAAGCACACTGTATTTTAGACAACAAGAACCACATAATTCAAGCAGTTACACAACCATAATTATAGTTGTTACAGACAGGACTCTTGTGCACCTTTCCTAATAAGTCACATAAAAACTGTGTCTAATTTTGAGGCCTTTAATGCTCATCCTTCAATACGATCTAGATACAGTTGGATTTACATAAATCTAATACTTTACACACAGCTGATGCAAATGCCATAAAAAAACCACATTCTCTTCTTAACAAGCTTTTAAATCAAAGGCTTTAATCTATATCAGGCTAAATAACTCACTGGTAATCTTCTATTGCCCTAGGTAGGCACACATTTCTGTACCATTCAATACCTTGTCTGTGTGATTTGCCTTTTTGTCTGTCCTGCGCTTTCCTGCTGAAGACTTTGTAGGCTTCAGTCTTCTGATACTGCTCCAGCTCCCGCATGTAACGCTCCTTATCTCTATCTGCTTCATCAAGGTATCGCTGAAACAGAAAAGTCCAAGAGTTTCAGGGAGTTTCCCCCCTTCAGGAGGAAGGGAAGAAAAACAACTTGTCAGATGAAGTGCTATTTCACCTACGGAAACAGGAAAGGAGTGAAGAAACAATGAGGAAGTATGCAACATGCAAAGACATAAGATTTCTGGATAAAACCACTGTATTCTGGTGTCCTGTTTTCTCTATTTAATTCAAATCACTATCCTGTTAAGGTTTTTTTTTTGTTAGAGGTATAAGTAACCTGCTACCAAGCCACTCAACTGAGAATTACCTACACATTATAGACCAAATACTTAAGAACTGTGGCTGGGATTAAGTGCCACCAAACAAGAATACCTTAAGAGGTCATGCTTTAAGGTTCAGATCTGTAACAGTGGGGTTCCAATACATTGTTTTGATGCCCCACAAACAAAAAGCACTCTACAACCACACACTTTGCCCACCTGACAGGTGAACAAAACAGCATGGCTATTGGAAAAGAGTAGCATCAAGATGCAAGAGTCTAGGAGATACCAAGTTAGGCAACATGCATCCAGGTTGAAAGTAATTACTTTTTTTTCCTAGCCTGAAGATATTTCACACATTTGCATAACAGAATAAGCTTAACTGGAGAACTAAACATCATTTAAGGAGTGGTCAGAACACTGATCCTGTCAAGAAAAAAGCTGCCTTCCCATTTGTTTCCCCGCAATGAATTAAAAATTCAGTGGCAGTTAAGTATTAAACCAGAGTGAACCTCAGTCACCTGGTATGCCTTTTATTTTCATTAAGTCATCCTAACAGTACACATAATTGACCCTGCCAAGGACACTGTTAACGCTCTGGATTGGGTGCAGATTTGGTGAAGCACTCCTTTTGGACACTGTATTCTTCCATAAGATATTAATTCTTTTCCAGCTTTATCAATGTGCTGCTGAAGGAGTGCAGTAACTTGAGTTAAAAGCACAAGTTTTTACCCCCTTGTGTTTTGGATGGACTGGTTTGAATCAGGAAGAAAGAGTTCTGCTGCACTACCTGTTAGTACATGACCTAGGTTTTTAGTGCACATCTCTACATCTCATTAGATTTTACCCCATACAGGGAAATAAGATGACTGACTATGAGGGTGTTTGCTTTATGACCTCAGTAATGGACTTTTTCTAGGAGAGACTCATTATTTGGTGAGCCCACTCAGCTCAACTGACCTGTCCTATGCTCACCAAATATAAAGGGAAGCAGCAAGACTCCAGGACTGGAACAGGAGAAATACGAGACTGTGCTTTAGCTACTGCTTTGCTGTACCAATCTAATTGGCAGGCAGGCATGGATGGCAAGACAACCATTAGCAGTAACGAAATCCACTCCAGGAGGAGTAGCCAGATCCAGCATTGCTTTGGTCTTCATTCACACATCAGACAGTGCAGAAAGCCACAGCAGTCCCAATTAGAGGACATCACATTCTGACTGAAAGATGGGGAAAAATAGCCAAACCACCTTTTCCTGAGGTATGTAGAAAGTAGAATACATAACTCTCACTAACCCATCCACCATATACTTGCCAACTTCCTTTCTAGGGCTAGCATTACTTTAAAATACTGTACAGAAGTTCACTCACATTAGCCACCTCCCTCAGTAATCTGCCCTTTCAAATCTGCTTGTCTCAGAGTAAGACACCAGATGTTTATATACACTGAGGAGTTTGTAAAATAAGCAAAACTGAGAAATCCTTCACACAGCTCTGAAATCCTGCCAAGCTCTCCTCAGCCACAGTGAATAAATGCCTGCTCCATCTTTCCAATGGCTTTGCCCTTGGAAACTACTAGGTCTCAGCTGTATTTCAATTAGGTACAACAGAGTTGCATCCAGATGAATCACATAAACTGTGAGATGTCTCACTAGAGCAATCCCCCTGTTCTGAATATATTCTGGCACTATCTAGAGGACACATTCCTCCTCAAGTCACACCTGGATGAGGTGCTATGGCCCTATCAGGGTTCACTATTTGAACTCTGCAGAAAACATACCCCTTATTTTGAAATATATCCCTAAACACAACTTTAATCAAAAGCCTATGTTAACTTCCTCACTAAACAACAATATTCCCATTTAACAGTAATCATAATCCATGAAGGAAAAGGGAGTTTAATGGTACCCGTTTCTCCTCAGGAGGCAGCTTACTCCATTCATTGCCCAGCATCCTGGTGATCTCTGGGAAAGGGACTTCAGGCCTCTTCGCTCGAAGCTGCTCCCTACGCTCATTCATGAACCGCACATACCCTGTGAGGGGGGATTTGGGGGCATTGGTGTCCCTAAGGGGTTTCTTCCTCTTTCTCCCTTTGGCCCAGCCTCCTCGTTTAGTTCTTTGCTGCTGCAAAATGAAAATGGAAGAAAATTCAGACTGAAGGAAAAGAACCTCCAAAAGGAATAAATATTCATGTCTCAAACATTTTCATCAGGAGTATGTTGCTGCAATACATCCTCTCCATGGATGTAAATATCTCATCTTTCTTTAGAGCAACCCTGACTTTGCTGCTCTAAGCAAAGCCAAAGAAGTCTCACTGTGAAAAGCTCTAAATTGTTTGCAGTATCTCCTGGTCCACAGGGACAATAAAACAACATTTGCATCAACTTCTTATTGTAAAACCAGCAGGATTAATAACCCATGAAATTATCATCCCAGCTAATGTAACTGCAAACACTGGGTTTGTCAATTGGTTGGTTGGGTGTTTTTTTTTTTTGGAATTATTCTCCTATTCCCTTCCCCAGTCACTTCCCTCTCTCATGTTTGCAGAGATTCTGTGTAGCAGTTAACAACTGTTAACCAGTTATTTTGCCCCTTCCACAACTTTTACCTTCATGCATTATGTGCCAAAAGTGTGGGTGAAAAGACAGTATGCAGGCTTTTCTGTTCTAACCCATTTTGTATGCTTTCTTTCCCACTGATCACCTCCAATAGGGAGATCAACAAACTCCAAAGGAGGGAACATCATAAAATTTGCCTGTAGCATACTGTGAGCTCACAGGAATAACATAATTACCACTCATCCTCTTGGCTTCATACTGCTACTACAGCAATCTCTGGACAACGCTATTTTCTTATGCTGTGTACATACAAGTATTTTAGTACTTCTAATCGCTCCCCAGATCAGCATGTTCCTGCCATCATGTTAGTTTTAATTTCCTTTCTGGAATTTTACTCATTCCTTAATTAAACAAGGACCTTGCAGCTGAAGACAAACAACAAGGAGGAATATCAAATGCATCCATCAAAAAAAAACACCAAAACCACTTTCTTATCAAACTTTATCTCTTTCATGATTTAGTCCAGAAAAAAATTTTCAGTGCAGGATTGTGTACAAGGCATAGTCTAAAGTAGTAAGCACAATGCTTTCAAAGACATCATTTACTCCCAGAAGAGTGTAACGGTTTCACTCCTGATTCACAAGAGATAAAGTAGGTTGTGACAGTTGAGCATTCAAGTCTTCAGAAAAAGCCTGAGTGCAGCACGAGTCTGTGGAGCTGCTGGCTAAGCTAGAGACACGTGTGCTGTTCTCTGTACATTGACTGCCAGCTTTCTGTGTGGCTGGCTCTGTGCCGTTGTGCAGCACAGGAGAAAACTAGAGAGAATCACAAGATGAAAATGGTAAATGGATGTAAGTTTGTGATCCCATCCAAAACCATCTGAGTAGGTAAGACAAACTGCAGTGACAGAACTCCATGGTTTTGCTTCAATGAGAAGTCACTATTATGTCATCTCACCTCCTCCTCAGGCTTCTGCTCAGTGTTTTCAGCAGTATTAGAGGACTCATTTTGCAGCTGCTGAACCTGTGACAAATCCTCCACCAAATCTGGGTTATTCACAGACTGTGAAGTTCCACCAGTGAATGAACTCTCAGAATGAGCTAGTCTGGAAAAGCACATAACAGCAAAAGAAAATACAAAAATTAAGCATCACATTGCTAAATCACTTCCTCCTTAATCTAAAATATGCAAAAAATGTTGCAAATATATTCAGTTCTTACACTAGCAAGAAAAAAACACCCTATCTGAAAGAGTCATTTTTGAAGAACTGGCTGTTCCATCCAAGCAACTGCTTTAACTACCATAGTTACTGTGGACTTTGAAAAAGACAGTTTGATTTTTAAAGTGTTATTTTGTCTCAGAAATCAGAAAGCATGAATCTATGCTTCTTGAAGAATACCATAAGGAATTTAAAATGAATGATTCCACCTTCTACCAATATACACCTCTCTGGATGCATTTAATATATATATTTCTCCACAAATACACTTAGAGGATTGCAGTTGTGTATGATTTTGGATTGAACATCATTCAACATTATCTCATGCTGATACATGTGGGTATTTAAAGCACAAACACAACTGGCTCCCAAAAGGCTCCTGAGTGGCCACTATTTGATTCTGCTGCAAGAGCTGTATCCATCAACCTTACTCCAGGAAAGGCCAAGTTGTCTGGAAGCAAAAAAACCCCAAAAGGCAAGCATGCAGGAATAGTTCTGAAGACGAGATGAGCATATATAGGCAGAGATGAGCACACATTTTGGGGCAACAACCCCAAAGTCATTCTCAATGTTTTATTCATTAGGTAAACTCATATGAGATTCTGGGACTCTCATTCTAATCCCTTCTTAGGCCAGGCTAAAGGTTACTTGGCCTTGCCCAGTTGCATCTATTACTAGAACAGAAGCATTTGCTTCTAGCTGCTTACATGCACGCCAAAGTTTAAATATTCAAAATAATCATTCCTGTTATGTACAATGCATCTACAGAAAATGGAGATATAGTAACAGAATTGTTGGTTGAATGCCTACAAGAAAATTTGTCTTCAACAGAGAGACAGCACTTTTTCATTAATCACTATAATCAGCAATTGTGGCATAATAACTGGTAAAGACACAAGCACTGGAGAGAGCCATGCCTGACTTTCAGGTATCAGATTGAGTTCCTACTACTAACAAGTAGGGAGGGAGAAAGGGAACAAAATGGATGTACTCCTGTAAGTTAACTTCTGGTAGTGGCAAACAGAAAATGGAACAATACTGCCTCTCAGAATCACTGTTACGGTTTGAAGAACATTTTGGGAAGCAGGGAAGCTTTCTAAACTACACACAGAGGAAAAGCTTCAATGTTGTGTAGCCATTTGCAGCAAAAGCTGATGAAACCTCATTCAACACCTTAATACCTCCTAAACACAAACCTAACTTAAACATGCATCTCTCATTTGGCACCAGCAAGTCTAAAGTCCCAGATATGTAAATCTGAATTTAGCTCCCCTTGAAGTAAACGTGTCTATATTCATTTTACAGGGCTTTACCTGCCTGCAAAGTCTGAATGTTACTGCTTGGTGCTTTACAGAACAGAAAAGAAACATCAAGAATCAAAACACAGCAAGAATCCCATGAATTCCTAAAAGACAGCTCCTTTTGTCATTGTGAGTTTTAAAGAGGCCATTGTCCCAGTCTGTAAAAGCAGAGTCAGTCTGACAGAAATAAAACATCACTTCCTCAGTGATATTCAGAGATCAGTGATGAATACTGTATCTTTAACAGAAATAATCTATCTAGCAGGGATCACTGTAGCCAACAGATTTACCCTCCCCTCTCTGCCCCCATGACACTGCCTAAACCTGTCTTAAAGACTGAAACTCTAGGGAAGCAAAATTTAAAAGATAAGATGTTAAAGGAAAGTTTGTGATCCTTTCCATCAGTTCAGAAGAGGCCTGGTTTCTCCTAAACAAAGTGCTGTGCTGTTCTGTCAAGGCCAAGGGAGTGTTGTTGGATTTCTTCTTGCTGGGTTTATTTGTTTAGTTGAGGTTTTTCACTTACTTAGAATGCCCTCCTCCCACTGAAACAGTTTCCCTAGCAAATCTGGAGATAGGATCTCTAAGCTGAAGGTTAAAAAGTAGTAGTTGCTTACCCAGTTACAGTAATTTCACTACCTTCCTTAGACCCATCTTCATCTGTAAAAAGAGGAGGAAGGTTGGAGCCAGCCACCAAGTTCTCCATACCTCTGCTAAAAAAAAAAACATAAGTTAATTATAAGTTTATTATCTCACTGTTTCCCTTCAGCAGCACTTGAGTTTAAACATCACAACTTATCACTGGCCATAAACTAATTGACCTGTCAGAGCTGGTTGGCCTCAGGACGGATCCTACAGGCAGCTATGCTTGAGGTCAGAGAAGAAAGACTATAAATGATGCTTCTTAAGAGTTCCCTTCTTAACTGAGCCAGTCTCACAGTGCTGCTGGAAATCACACTGTAACACTGTGGTTTAGCCCTTGAGAGAGATTTTCATTCATCATAGCCAGCACAGAGGTACACAGATCCCCTTTTCCAAAACAAGCTCCTGTTCATCCCCTACTGCACACCCTCACCAGGAGGTTTCTGTGTTGACCCCAACAGAAAACTGAAACTAAGCCCCCCCCTTCAAGTTTCAAATGAAGACAGTATTTGAGAATTCCTTATCCACATTTTCACAATAGATCTATGCACGTAGTTGAGCGTTACTGCTAAGTAAGAGAACACAGCACTGTTATCTAGACCGCTTTAAGCTTCGACTCCCATACAACAGTTCCAGAAGCAAGCAGTTTAAGGCACAATGTATTTCTCATTCAATACAAACTGGTCCCAAGTGAGAATTAGTTTCTTTTGTATCCTTGTAGATAAGAAATCCAAAGAATAAATTTATTCATCCCCTTTCTTACTAAAATACAGACCTGTTGTATTATAGGAAAAAGAAAAAATCTCCCAAAAGCCCTAACAAATTCACTCTGTGATTATGAGTGACAGTTTCAGCCCATTTTAAAAGGCCATACCAGTTAACTTTATGTTCCTTCCGTTTAGAAGCCACCTTTGATGAGCTAGCAGATATTCAACTGAAGTATTGCTACCCCTTTCAGCTACTATACTTGGCCTTTCAGCTTAGGGGCAAGTTCTGATGCGAGTTAATGATCCTGTGCTGCATTCTCCTGGATGGGTACACTTCCACTCAGCACTGAAATCAAAGCGACCAGAGACACAAACTCCTGCTCCATGTTTTTAACATTGTAAGTGTTTTCCCACACCCCACCCCAGCTCTACAGGTCAAGGCTTTCCACAGACAAAAGTAATGATGCTGGTTTTTGCATCTAATATCACTTGCAGATCCCTGATATGGTGAAAAGCTTGTACCAACAAACCAGCAGGCCACCCAAACAGGTGAGCACCATACTCCTACTCAAAGGACTCAGGATGTGAGAGACATTGATTCTACAGCTATATTTGGTTAAAATTAGTCAGGAGTCAAAAGGCTGGTCTCAGGAACCAACAGCATAATCACACATCTGATGTTCTGTTTGGAGATTGTGAGCTCTGCGCTATTCATGCTTCCCTTTGAAAGCATAAGAATATCTACTCTCTGTAGCAACTGCTCTATACCTTCATAAGCTACTACCGATGTTAGTTGATAAATGAATCTCTGCTAAGTTTCCAATTTTTTCAGTTTAGCAAATGTCCAGTTATTGCTCATGGTAGATCAGTCGAAGGTCACCATGAAACAGGCATTGCATCAATCTAATTTCCACCACAAAGTTCATTAAGTTTCCAAAGACAACTACTTTTCTTACACACAGAAGTGTAAGAAGATGACAAGGATCTCTCACTTTTCAGATGACATTCACCCTTTTCTCTTCTGCTTTTCCAACTGTTGAGATCCTCAGATCATCCTTCAGAACCCCATCACAGATTCCTTACCTAGAAAATAATTAAGCAGACTTCTAAGTAGAGCAGACATTGACCTCCAGCAAAAAAACTCCCACCTTTTACTTGTGTAGACAAAAGACCCAACCAGGAACAAAGAAATCAAATTCATGCTCTATCATTATAAACCATGAACTGAACATAGTTTTGAGGCCTCAACCTCAACAGAGAGTGGTCAAGCTGGAGATAGCCCAAGAGCTGCCAAGATAGTCAGGGGCCTAGAGCACCTGATGTGAGTAGGGATGTTGAGGACACCAGGCTAGCTCAGTCTCGCAGAGGAGGATAAGGGCAAATCCAATCTATACACCTAAAGCTACACGACGGAAGCAGCAGAGAGAACAGAACCAAACTCTCAGTAGATATATTGTCTTCTCACATTCTGAGTGGACACCAGGAGGGCACCACAACACTTGGTGAGGCCTATCCTTGCAGATTTTAAATGCTCAGTTACACAAAGCTGTAACTGACCTAAACCAGTGCTGGCAACAGTCCTACTTTGAGTGGGAGGCTGGACTAAGATGACCTCCAGATGTGCCTTCCAAAGCAACATCTGCAGTGCTCTGAAGCGGAACTCTACATTATGCTTTTAAATACCAGCATCTCTGACATAAAAAGCAAAAACCTCAAATAATACAGTGCTTTTACGAAAAAACGGTGAGATATTCTGGTGGGGCATATAGCATTTTAATTTTTGATGAAGGAAGCAAAACCAGTACTTCTTCACACATAGAAAAGAACCTACACCAAGGCTGGGGCTTTAATGTATTAGAGGAAAGCCTGAAAATACAACTGATTTGAAGAACAAGCTCTTCACTGATGCCCAGAAACTGTTTAAGCACCACTACGAAGTATACAACACAAATTGCTTCATGTAGTTGCCACGGAAGAGAGTAATGAAGTTTTGCTGCATGTTACACAATCTTTCATCTTTGTCAGAAGTCTTAAATTAGTATCTTCAAAAAAAGGAAGTTTAAGAAATGAGACTAAAACCTTGCAAATCTATTTATACAAATGTATATGCACACACATATATATATGAAAAGTTTTATGCATGTCTGAAAAAATAAAACGGCTTTCTTGGTTGTCCATGCACCTCCAGCAGGGGGTCAAGGACCCCTTCCCAGCCTCACCATGTCAGTCTACTGACACTGCACACAAACACATACCCTCTGCATCTGAACATGCAAGTGCTTCTGTCCCTCATGTCCACTGTGACCTTCCCAGCAGGCCCTGCTGTGCCTCTTCACATCTGGACCTAGTCAGCAACAGCAGTGCCTAAGCTTGCTTTCAAGGCTGTGGGGATGCAGCTGGACATCAACCTTAACAACATATAAACAGAATGCAAACACAGGAAGCCAGGAGAACACACACTTTGTTCTTTCATTTGATTTTTTAAATTTAACCCATATGCTTTGGGTATTAACTCCTTCAGTTGATACTGAGTTGATATTTCCTAAAGAAAACTTAACATCAGTGAAGTTACAATGGCTTCTAATCTATTCCAGAAAGAAAAAAAAGACAGTTGTCCAAAAGCTCACTGAGAATGGACAGGAACCTACACAAGCCTTCCACTCACATTCCTCAAGAATAGCTGTGCTCCAAAGCCACTACCCACTAGTTCCAACCCCACTGCAGAGCTACATGTTCATTCCAGGGATGTAACAAAATGGGCAAAGCAAAAACTTGAGGAAAAGAACAGTAATGGGGAGGGAAAGGAAAGGGTGTTTCTCAAACCTGAACCTTAACAGAATTCACAGGACTTGAGAGTCGGCATCTACATTTGTTCCACATTGTGCATATATTTATGCACACAGTTTTGCAGCTCTGTCAATTTAAACTCTGGCCAAAGCACCTACTAAGATACGTTTGGCTAAATTCAAGGCACAAGAAACAATGTATGCTGAGGTTTTTTAATGGCTAACATACATCCTATTTTCATTTTTAAACTGTGTACCCAAATGCAAAGATAAAACTGAAATTGATGTTCAACTCTAAATCTTTACAAGCACTACAATTCAGTGCTAGTAAGCATCACCTCTGAAACTAGAGCAGCTCTGAGTTCACTGTACTGCTATACTACCAGTTGTACCGGCTCAAGGAGGCAACCAGCTAAGCAGGAATGCAGAAAGACTGATTTCTCATTAACAGCAGCACTTGATAAAGCATTTGAAAACCTCTGATTTATTTTGGGACAGACAAGCTCCGGAAGATCCTGCATGCACTCAATTCTGTTTCCTTTACAACTTTTGCAGGGTGGAGCAAGACTATAGCCAAACCAGAACTGTAATGCGCAACCTTACCACCACTTGGAGTTTCCATGGAGATTCTACTTCCATTTTAAGCACTCTACTGCTCAATCAGAAACCCCGTTCCCTGAAGGCCAGCACCAGACACTACCTCCCAACTCCACTATGGGTGAGCCAATCCTGTCAGCAATACATGTTTCTGACTTTACCTTAGCTCTGAACACTCCAGGCTCTCCTGTGCAATGATTTTACTCCCAAGTGCAAACTCCACCCCAACTTGGGATGTTTTTAATTTGTATTTACTACAGCCAGCGCAACACTGGTCAGCTGTGGAACAGCAGCAACAACCTGGCCTACAGAGGCTGGAGGAGTTTCCAGATGTCTGTTTTGGGATGCACTACCAACCAATATTTAAAAAGGACAAACACCAACGAAAAGGGCAAGTACAAGGATCAAGGTGCAAGCTTGAGCTCCAGAAACAATGCAGTTATGTGTGCAAAAATCCAGCAGGAGGCAACGAAAAACTCCAGTGAAGAACAAGTTTCCTACCATTCCATGCTCTCAATGTTTAAACATTGATAGGATCTCCAAAGATCCATTAGTCATGTGTACTAATATTAAACCTCTTTAGGAGCCTAGAGAAGATCCTACATTACCATAAGCCATCAAAAATCTGGCTTAATTTATCTTTTCTTTCCCTCCCTTCCCTCCTCTCAGGGAAAACAAGGGTTATGTGAAACAGAAATCCTACAATGGTATTCTGGAACTTCCAGTTTAAGTTTTCAAGCTGGGCACTTCAGCTGCACACAATAAGAGACCATACCTAATACAGAGTGTGCCAACATAGTTTGCCAAAATGACAGAAGAACTTACACAGCATAAAGACCTAAGTGCTACTACATGCATCAATTCACAGGGAAGAATCAAGCAATAGGGAATCAAATACCTTTCAAAACCAGAAGTATAATTTAAACAAGCTTTCTTAATTTCTTCTTACATTAAATTTTGTAGGCCATGCCATATAAC